CCCTTCCAGTACCCGGGCACCGACACCGTGCCCGAGGAGGAGCGAGTCTACACGGCTGCGGGGGATGAGATCACCGAGGGAGAGGAGCCCGTGGCGCTGACTCAGCCTGCCCAGCCCCAGGAGGATGAGGAGGGGCAGCAGCAGGAGGAAGAGGAGTCAAACTCGGATGACGTAAGTGGAACATTCCAGCACCATCCTGTGGGCTGGGCTGTTGGAGCTGTGAGGACAGATCCCATCTCTGAGCTCATTTTTCATCTCTTAGTTGGATAAATGGCGTGTTAAAACCAGCTTTAAAGTAGGATTGTTCACCCCTTGGTGCACTGAGCCCCTCGGGGCAGGGAAAGGGGCCCTGAGCCCCCAGAACTGCTCAGGGTGGTCATAGGGGTTTATCCCAAAGGCTCTGATCTGAGGAGGAGCAGACGGGAGGCTGGTGCTGCCCAGCAGGTCCTGCTCTGGTGCCTGGCAGATGGGGTGGCAGAGGCTGGGCTGTGTCCCCAGCTCCATCTCGTTGCTGTGCTGGGATGGACGTGCAGAGCTGCACAGAGGGCTGACCTCGGCTGCTCCTGCACTGGGGGTTAGTCACTCTGGGGACATGGCTTCAGTGACAGAGGCTCCTGGAGAATGGGCAGGGCAGGAGCCATCCCAGCCCTGTCCCTGGCAGACGCCTGTCTGGCCTGTTCTCCCAAAGCTCTGTCATTACAGATCCCCAGGCAAGCCATTCCCGTTCTCTGCTCCACCAGAATTAACTCAGATGCCAGATCTCTGCTGCAGCTGCACCCCATTCCTTTCTCCTGGCAACGTGGGGCACAGGGACGCTTTGTTCCCTCCTTTTCCCAGCTTTTTATGGAGCCTTGCCTTCTGCAGGCTGAACAGACTCCTCCAGCTGTTTCTCCCAGGCTGGTCCTGGCTCTGCAGCCATTCTTGTGGCTGGGCAGTGGCTGTGCCCAGGACCGGGCTGGCAGCTCTGTGTCTGTGCCAGGAGCTGCTTCCTGGAGCCCACGCAGTCTCCAGGGATCAGCTGCAGTGGAATGAGCTCGCTGCTGTGCTGACTGAGGTCCAGCAGCCCTGCTCCTTACATGGGCATCAGCTGGGGCCCCTGGGCTGGGGCTGCTCTGGGATTGCTCCTGCTGAGCTGGCAGGGCTCTGAGTCAGGGATGAGCTCATCCCTCGTGTCGGGGCCTGAGCAGGGCTGCTCCAGGGGAGGGCGGTGGGACGGGGCAGGGAGCAGGAGAGGGCTCAGCTGCATCCCAGATTGTGCTGGTGTCCCCAGCTCCATCCCAGATTGTCCTTGCAGGACAAGGACACGTGAGGAGGGGGATGTGCTGTGTCCCAGCTCCATCCTGGGCTCAGCTGTGTCCCCTGCAGGACAATGACATGTGTGAGATGGGGGCTGTGCAGTGTCCCAGCTCCATCCCCTGCCATGCTGTCCCCCACAGGACAATGACACGTGCGAGGAGTGGCAGCGGCACGCGGCGCTGCACGAGGACGTGACGCAGCAGGAGCGGCTGCGCGAGCGCCTCTTCGAGGAGGAGATCGAGCTCAAGTGGGAGAAGGGCGGCTCCGGCCTCGTGTTCTACACGGATGCCCAGTTCTGGCAGGAGCAGGACGGAGGTGACCCTGCTGTTTGTGTCACTGAGCCCACGGGCCAGCTGGAGCCCCCAGCACCGTGCCCTGGCTGCTGAGCCCTCCCTCGGGCACAGGGCTGAGACCCCCGTGGTGCTGCTGGCAGCCCCTTGGGTGGGCAGTGGGGTTTGGGGGGTCCCTAAGGCAGTTTCCTCTGTGCTGGCACTGCTGAGGCACCACCCTGAGTGCAGAGCTGTGTCCAGAGACATGGAGGGGCTGGGGAGTGCCCAGGGCAGGGGCTGAGCTGGGGAAGGGGCTGAGCCTGGAGCAAAGGAGGCTCAGGGGGGGCCCTGTGGCTCTGCACAGCTCCTGCCAGGAGGGGACAGCTGGGAGGGTCAGGGAAAGAGCTGCCCTGTGCCAGAGCTCACCCAAAGTGCTGCTTCCCTTCTCTTGGCAGACTTTGACGAGCAGACAGCCGACGACTGGGATGTGGACATGAGCATCTATTATGACAAAGGTATGAGAGCTGAGCCACCCTCCCCAGGGGAACCAGAGAACTTCTGACCATGCACAATTCAGGAGCTCTTTGTCATTCTTTGAAAGCACCCAGGCTGTCAGTGAACCTGAAACTGTGCTTTTCTGGTCTGGCAGCAAGGCTTGCCAAAAAGAACAGGTTCTGCCTCCTCTGCTCTGGGGAGCACGCTGGTGGTGCCCAAGCTGGCTGGGCTGGGCTGTGCTCACTGTGGCTGCTTTGTCCCCAGATGGAGGGGACAAGGATGCCCGGGACTCGGTGCAGATGTGGCTGGAGCAGCGGCTCCGGGCCGGGCTGGAGGATGGCTCTGTGTCAGGGCAGCACATCGGCACCTTCGAGAGGCACACCAAGGTGGGAGAGCTCTGCCTGCCTCTCAGGAGGAGGAGGAGGAGGAGGAGGGGTCTTGGCTGTGGGAAGATGGGGGTGGGATTTGTCCAGCAAGTCTGTGATGGTTTTCTCCTGTCTCCCAGGGCTTTGGCAGGAAGGTCCTGGAGCAGCAGGGCTGGACAGAGGGGCTGGGCCTGGGCAGCAGCAACTCTGGCATGGCTGAAGCTCTGGACAACGAGGGTCAGAACCCCCGGTGCAAGAGGGGGCTGGGGTGAGTTCCCAGGAGCCCTCCTAGCCCCTGTTCCCCCTGTGCCCAGGCTCACAGCACTGGGGGGCTGCAAAGGGCTGTCCCAGGGATGATCCCTGCACAGCTGGGCAGTTCCACAGCCAAACAGGCTGCTCCTCCTGGCACCCAGGGCTCCTCGGTGGAGCAGGGCTGGAGCCTCTGTGGGAGCTGTCCCTGCCCATGGCACAGGGTGGAACTGGGTGGGTTTAAGGTCCCTTCCAGCCCAAACCATTCCAGGAAAGGAGCTGTGAAGCTCAGAGAGGCCTGATGGCTTCTGCAGCTCCAACCAAACCTTCCTGCTTCCCTGCAGATACCATGGGGAGAAGCTGCCAACCTTTGTGAGGAGGAAGAAGCCCCGTGGTGACAGCTCTGTTGTCATCTCCACCATCTACGATGAGCCTGAGCCCCAGGACATGGGTGACCAGCTGCTGAGGCGCCAGCCCCTCACGGCCATGAAGTACAGACAGGACATGGCCTTTGTCCGAGCGTCCCAGCCCGCCCTGGGCAGCCTCAGGGCCCAGCCACGCTGAGCAGGGACTGTCACAGCCTTTGTCCTGCTCCCCAGGCCAGGCTGGCTCCTGGCCTGAGTGTAAGCAGGGTGGTTTTGTATTTATTTTTAGTAAAAATAGAGATTTGTAATTAAAATCACCACAGTGGGGTTTTTTCTGACAAATGAAAGGAAGTAATGTTCTGTGTGAATGGAGAAGGATTTAGGGTGATTAACACTTACATTCGTGCTGTGATCAACCGAATGTGTGAGTTGGTGAGGCTGAGGAAGCAGAACTCAGCCTGGGAGGCAGGGAAGGACAAGTACAGGCAGGGCAGGGTAACTCCTTCCCTGCCCGAGCGTTCCTGGGGTGTGGCTGTCCCGCTCTGGCAGGGATGAAAGGCTGGTCCTGGCAGCCTGCAGGGGGATTCTCTGCCTTCCCTGTGGCTCTGGTAGCGGGTGCTTTCCAGGCTGCTCTGCCCCGTTCCCCAGGCACTGGCACAGGGGACAGCTCTGTCCCACTGACCCAGTGCTGGCAGGCCAGGCCCTGTGTGACTTCCTGAAGGGGTGAAGGGGGAAAATGCAGGGAGAAATTCCTCCTTCTACCTGCCAGGAGGGTGTAGCCACCTGGGAGAAGGCTGAGGGTGGGCATTAGGAAGAATTTATTTACAGAAAGGGGGATTAGATTTAGGAATGGGCTGCAGGTGGTGGAATCACTGTTCCTAGAGAAACTGGTCGTGGCACTCAGTGCCATGGTGGTGTTTGGTCAGAGCTAGGGCTCGATGGCCTCAGAGGCCTTTTCCAACCCGATTTATTCTGTGATTGGGAAAAAAGCGGGGCTGGGGCGGTGCTGGAGGGACAAGAG